CCCCAAAACCCCAAAACCCCAAAACCCCAAAACCCCAAAACCCCAAAGCTTAAAAAGATTACTGAAATTAAGTTAATATTATTTAATATCTCAAAATAGGAAAGAGAAATGGAAAGTACGGTGTGTTGTGAATCTTAACTTCTTCATCAAACTCTGTCTGGTTTCACTACACTTTTAGCAAAAGTTGAAATTTAGAGCCTCCATAAATTTCTCACAAAAACTTCTGTTTTGCATTAAATTATGGAAGAATACTTGTGTTGCATTTAAAAACTTAAATGGTTTAGAAACCAAGGAAAAATCAACAGCTAATCCGAAAGAACAACTTAAAAGTAAGTTTCAGGCAGGGTCTTTACACTCTTAGTGCTGGGGAATTTACTTGATAGCCTAATACTCAAGTTGATAAATGATGAGAATAATTCTAAGAGGCTTCTAAGAAACACATTTTTATAGCAAGAAGAAGACCTCAATCTCTCTCCTTATCTCATGTATTGATTTACCACAAAAGCAAAATACTTTTTATGTGCTAGCTCTAAGTTTTTGGGCAAAAAATTCCTTTTTAATTTTGACTACATGATTCATTTAATAAATTTTAACTTGTGTAAAACTTGTGAAACATAGATAAGCTTCACCTTGTCACTTAAGAATACTCTAAAATCTTCTATTCTTGCTTCCTATGTTAAACTCTTTGTTCTAGCAAGCTTTACTCATTGTCCTGACATCCAACGCTCCATGAGAAGTTTCAAGAGAGAAATGAACAAGAAGCCTAAAGAGAAGGTCTCAGATGCAAAATTTGAGTATTTCAACTACACTCACCATGGTAAGAGCAAGAGAGTCTTATTGTCTCAGATATATGTCCTTCATTGATAAATCGACTAGTTGAAATTTTTAGTCCTATAAAATTACTGATACACGTTGTGTCTTCACTCCCATCATAAATTTACATTCAGAGCTTTATTCTAGAATTAAGGCTAGTGGTTCTGGCCTGGCTGATTCATAATCTGTATATATGTGAATTTTAAGAGAGGTGGTGTTCTTAATGCTCTATAGCCAAAACGTTTGGAATCAAAAAGAAAAGATTGAGTCTTCTGAGCCCAGAAATTGAGATTAAGAAGAACTTATAGGGGGTGAATCGAATAAACTCAACTTTAAAGCAAAAAATAAAATGTTTTTAAATTATACGTCTGGTGAGAATAATTTTCTCATCTATAGATAAGATTCTGAGTCATTTTGGGATAAAAGATCATAAAAAGAGCCAAATAAAGCATAATGATCCATTACTGGCAGTTAGGACTGTAACTAAAAAGACTCAAAATATACAAACTGAGAGGAGAAATGCTCCAAGAGTATTCTTTAAGCTCTAATTTGTTTAGCATTCTCCAGCCAAAGCTAAATAAAGTAGAGAAGGTATTATTCTTAAGAGAATTTATAGACAAATAAAACAATGAAAAGAAACTTAAATATTGACAATAAAAAGTATCAACTAAGACTTGACTTTCATAGGCAGTCAAAACTCACCTGAAGAGGAATATTATCAAATACAATTGCTGAGAAACTTAGAACCATGAGTAAGGTTTTCCTCAAAATTATTGAATAATTCTGTAGATTTAGAGAAACCAAATTTTGAATTAAAGGGAAAAGCAGGAGTGCAAACTTTCATGATCTCTGATTCCTCCCCAATCCGCAATATTTCTAATTTAAACAACAATTCTGCAGAAAGAAATAACTTTAAGAATACTTCGAGCTTTCAGAAGAGGGTAAAAGTAGAAATTGCTTCTATAACTATAAGAGCAAAGAAACCTGATAAGTCGAAGAGTTTATTAAAAGAAAAGAGGAAGTCAATAAAGACTTCTTCGCCGTCTAAGAAATTAAGCAATAGCATCAAGAGGGATTGAAAATCTTCACAAAATTTGTACCTAATCTCAGCCAGCAGAAACCAAAAGACAATGTCAGAGAGTAATAAGCTTATAGTCATGTTTTAGAGAAATTTCCTTTTGAGGGTACACCTAAGAAAAAGGTGACTCCTTTTCCAATCAAGGGGAACAAGAGACACTCGACAAAGCTCAATAAGAAAGATTTATCTAAAAGGACTCCTGTAGATATCCCAAAAGGTTCTACTTTCACTGAAAGTGTCAAGAACGCTGAGAAGATGCTCAGGAGTTCCCAAAATTGAGATCTTGCTAAAAATGAAGATAGTACGAATTCTTCAGAATCTCAAAAAGTGAAGAATGTTCTTGAAAACTATTACAAAGAAGAGTGACCCATAGAACATCCTCTCAACCGAAAAGAAATTCTTGAAAAACTGGAAGAAGAGGAAGAAGATAATTATTATAAAGCCAGTGAAACTGTTCTTCCTGAAGACATTCAGGCTATTAGAAAAATAGGTTCTGGAACTTTTGCAAAAGTTTACTTGTGAAAAAGTATGAAAACTCAGGAACATTATGCTCTGAAGGTCATTGATAAAAGAAAACTTAAAAATAAAGATCTGATTAGGTATGCTGTGACAGAAAGAAAGATATTACAAGAAATACAAAGTGACTTTGTTGTTTCATTAAAGCTTAGCTTCCAAACGAAGTCTCATTGCTATCTTTTGATGGATTACTGCCCAGGACAGGATATATGAACCTATCTTGATAAAGAGTCCTCCTTTAACGAGGATAAGGCTAGGTTCTATCTTGCAGAAATAGTTGCTGCTATCCATGCTTTACATAAAAATGGGGTTATTTACAGAGATTTAAAGCCAAATAATATAATGCTTGATGATGAGGGTCATATCAAATTGATAGATTTCAATCTTTGCAAAACTGGAATAGCAACTTCTCTACAAAGAACTAAATCTTTCTGTGGGACCCCTGCCTACATGGCTCCAGAAGTGTTATCATCCTCCTCATACGGCAAAACCATAGATTGGTATCTAGTTGGAGTCATCCTCTATGAAATGATAGTAGGAATACCTCCCTTTTTCCAACCTGATATTTCAAAAGTGCACAAAGAAATTCTTAAATCTCAGCTTGAAATTCCGGTTGAATGCTCTGAAGAATGAAAAGACCTAATGAATAAACTCCTTTGAAAGTAAGTGTTACTATTTTATCATAGAAATCCTTGAAAAAGACTTGGAAACATGGCTCACCTTACCACAGAAACAGGAGCAAGAGATGTTCTTGCCCATCCATGGTTCAAAGGGATCACTCTTGAACAAATAGAATCTAAAGAACTCAAGCCATACACTCCATATCTCAAGAAAACAAGCTTAGAAATGGAAAATTCAATCACTCCTAAAGAGCAAAAATATTTAGAGGCATTCAACGAGAAGCTAAAAAAACAGTTGTTTGTAAGTCAAGTTTTCTTCAAAATTTATTTCAAACTTAATTTTCTATCCAGAACAATAAATACAAGAAATCAGATCCCAAAAGAATCAAGAAATGGACTTTCATACAGAAATAATGCATTAAATATTTCGAAATCTTTCAATACTTATTATTTCAAGAGGGGTTTTGGGGTTTTGGGGTTTTGGGG